CATAAATTATCTTCACGATAGGTACTACGAAGAAAATAGTTTAAGTTTATAATGGATATTAARTGATATTGTAGTTTTATAAATATGTTTCACAATAATTATTTTATCATTTTTTAGAGCTTATTATTTCATAATTAAAGATAAGTTTACAATACAATTTTAAAATTTGGCAATACAAATAGACATATTGTAACTTATATTTATTTGAAAATTTTCTCTAGTTCCTTACTTAAATTGTCCATCATAAAATGTTTGCAAATRCTGTAACCTGTAACATCCTAAAATTCATTGAAAATACTGGTGTGTCTCCACTGGATTTGGACTTGGGTTTGGGACTTTATGTGCTTAAAATCTTAAAAATATGCGCATACATATACACCAAAATATGCATTTATTTTATTTTTAATTAAAAAAAACTTACTTTAACATATATATTATATACTATAAAAAATGTGTATACTAATACCTACTTAGCTATGTTAACAATGTTATTTTATTTATGGTAGCCTTTTTGTARTTTGGGTGCGATATGTGGATTCCGAGTTAATTTTCCGTCCATTATTACCTACACCAATGTATTGATATTAGGTGACCAAGAAATACAATTACCGTACTATACCTTAAGTTACCAGGAGTTGTGGAGCGCCGCTTGGAGAAGAACACCGCTGTACTCTTTTAACGGTTTAAAATAATTTTCCATTTATCTCCCAATAGTCCCAATTTTCGAATTTCATTCAAGTGGGCTTGAATATTCTGGATTATTGTTTCGACATCTTTAGCGCTTGCAGAGTATATAGCACTGTCATCGCTTCATCAGCAACTAGTGCTAGGTACTTCAATATTATTCGTTGTAGGGAAGTCAGAAACGCTTAGGTTAAAAAGTAAAGKTGAACTTTTTGAACCTATGGTAGTGCTTGTGMGTTAATTAATAATTTGTTTTGTTACCAATGTAGTATTGTTGATTCTAACTTAAAAGCAGCGAACGGAGAGGTAGGATTTAATTAGATTATACCTACATTGCAGCTGTTGGAGTGCTTAATGTTTTTAATTTTTATAAAAATCCGTTGTGTCRGGCCCGATCAAAGGCTTGGTCTAAGAAGTTTACGCCTGTATGTATTATTTTTTCAAATCCAAAATAACATTAAAATAACATAGATATAACTTACATTCCTACATATTATGTATTATATATATAACTTATATTTTAGATTCTGAACGAAGTGATGAAT